TAGATTTCCTCTGTATCCATTTCTTCCATTTTTTCCCCCATAATTAATGTTCTGCTAGATCCATCCATTGATCTCCTCTGATATTTCTATGACTATGTTATCATCCTTAGGTGAAATGTTAAGAATTTAGCTGTTGCTCTTTCTGATGATTTCTGTTCATATCGTCAGTGCAGTTCTGAATCCCAGATTCATGTTGTATGACATGCCTTGATATTTCTGCCTATATATTCCACACAGACATTTCAAATCTAGTGGGTTCAAAATTGAACTCATGTGTTCATGTTAAGACTAAAAAGATAGTCTTCTCCATTTCTTCCTCATCCTACCTGTGTCCATTTAGTCATTTTCTGCACGCTGTTTTTCTAAAGTCTGTTTTTCCTTCTCTATCCCTGTTGCCTTAATTGAAATTCTTATAACTTATGACCTGAATTATTGTGAGAACTATCCATGGGTTTTCTTATATTTGTGGTCCTTTCTACATCTTACCTTCCCTGTTGTTATCAGAGCAATCTGCCTACTGTCCTGCTTAAAATAATCATAGTGCCTTATCACTGACTGATGGAATCCAGACTACTTTACTGGGCATATAAATACCCTCTTAATGGCCCCTTTAATTCTCCTAGCCTTATCTTCTACCCATCTTTCTACAAACACTTTTTGATTTACCCATGACCTTCTTGGGTTTCTCTGGCGTAGTCTCTGGTGTCTCCATGTCCTGCATGTTCTGAGAATGCCAAAGTCTCTAATGGCCTATCATTGCTTTTGTGCAAATTAGAAACCAGTTCTCCAATCCAGTCAGTCAGTTTTGTGGGTGCTTAGAGGAGTAGAGAGTGATGGTACCTTTGTGAGAAATGAAAGAAAGATACTTCTCTGCCCTGAAGCAGCCCCAGAAGATAGGGGAGTGGGGGGCAAATCTTGAAGAGCAGGATGTTAGGGTTTTTTGTTTTGTTTTTTCAGCCTATAGCCCCTGTGTTGGAACACTGTAGGTAGTAAGTCTATACAGTGGAGTACAGTACCCCTGGTTACTCCTCATCCTGGAAAATTCTTGCTTATTTAAGATTGTTCTCTACCTACAATTTCTAGCTGCCATTATACCCATGGTTTTATCATTTAATTTGGTTCTCAGTACCTTGGAAAAATCTGAGAAAAGCTCCAAGCCTTTCTCCATAAAAAGGTTGTACTCCTAAGGTCATAAACCTGATATTAGAAACTACATTCTGCATTTCATTAAACTTCTTGGTTCTTGTGTGTAAGATGGAGCTTGCCACTTGTTAAGCATTTGTGGAACTATCAGGAGCATTTGCTGACAGTCTGCTTTTGTGATTTTTCTTTGTGTTCATATAACTTCACTTGCAAAGTGCTTTCCCCTAACCTATTTAACTTACTGTTTTCTTGTCAATATCTTGAGTTAGACTATGAAATTTGGCAGTATAGGCACTTGTGATGTTTAATCTTGATTTCCAACTTGATTGTGCGAAAGCACATTTCCAGAGATCACAGAAGCATGACCTTAGGGACTATATCTTGTCCCTGGTCCCTTCTTCTCTGGTGTTCTTCCCCTGTGCTCTGCTTCCCAGATGCCATGAAGTGGGCATATTTGCTTCACCATGCCCTTCCAGCATGACCTTTGTGCTTTGGAGGCAGTCAGTTATGACTCAATTCTCTGAAACCAAGAGCCAAATAAACTTCTCCTTTGAGTTGTAGGTACTGGGCATTTTGTTGAGACAGAAACAACAGAAAAGCTGACCAATTCAGAAAAATTAACACAAGAAGTGGGGATGTTGCTGTGACTATACCTGACCATGTGGTTCAGAAGACTTTGGACCTGGTTTGCAGAAGGAATTTAGAAAGGGTTGGAGATGCAGGCTAGACAAGCCCTAGAATTCTGGGAGCAGAGATTGATGGGTGATTCTGGTGGGAGCTCAGAAGACTAGAATGATCATAAAAATATGGACAGTAAAGAATGTGCTCATGAAGTTTCAGATGGGAACAAGGACTGTATTGAGACTTGGACTAGAGTTCATGCATATTACTTTACACTCTGGCAAAAAATTTGTCTACATCTTGCCCATGTCCTAAGACTGTGTGAAGCTCAATTTAAAGATGGTGGGTTAATTGGTTTATGTGGTGGAAGAAATTCAGGGTAACCCAGTGTTCAGGTTGTGGCATGGTACTGCTGTCTGATTTTAGCCAGACTTGTAGTGAGAACTGTAAGCCAAAAACACAGCAGGAAGATTTGCAAAACTTAAATTTTGGCCTGAAAAGCCAAGTGGAGGCCAAAAGTAGTATAGTTGCTGAAGAGATTAGCGCCAGGACAAGAAGAAAAATGCCTTGAGCTGTCAAATAAACCTCTTCTTCCACCCATTATAGGCCCCAAGGGTAAAATAGTGACAACCTTTCATTTACAAAAAGAGCCCCTATGCCCCCTGCTCAAGTAGGGCTACTTATGGAATTGGTTCCCTACTATGGATTTCATTGTGCTCAGTTATCCAGTCACTCAGGGGCTGCTACAGCCATGGTCTGATAGAGCCCAGGTACTGCTTGCACTGGTGGCAAAATTTGGTATTGTCCATGTGATGCTAGTTTTTCAGGTATGCAGAATATAAGAGTGCTGAGGTCATGGAGGCTTCCACCTAGATTTCAAAGGAATGCCAGGAAGATCAGGAAATGTGCCCCTAAGATGGCAGTATGTGAAATTGTGGAAGTAGGGCCAAAGTTTTAATGGAGACCCTAGGAAGTTGAAGATGCCAGGAGCATGGAATATCTGCTGAGAAAAGCTGCAGGCAGTGAGTAGAGCCAGCCTAAAAGAGAAGGCACGTGGGTGGGGCCACCCAAGCCCTCTTACAATGTGTTCTAGTTGCTGGATATGGAGCTATGGGACTTAAAGTTTACCCTGCTGGATTTTGGTCTTGCTTTGGCCTGATTCTTTTCTATGCCTCCATTCCTCCCTTTTGGAATAGGAATGCTTACCCTGTGCCATTGTGTTTTGAGATTATATAACTTGCTTTTTCTAGGGCTCACAGCTAAAAGTTGTCTTGAGTTTTGGACTTTGAGCAATTTTGGAACAGTTAAGACTATGAGCAGGAATTGGTGCATTTTTGGCTGTATGCAGGATAGATCATGTGAGGCAGAACTATGATCTTGTTGTGTTTGGTTGGAGATTAAGGATGCTTTAAGCAGGTGTGATTAATAGTGTTTAATCTTAATTGTCAACTTGACTGGGTTAAGAGATTTGTAGAGAGATAATTGGATTGTGAAGGTAGTTCATAACTGAACGCGCTATTAGAAGGTTCAGCCTCGTTTGAGAAAGTAGTCATGGAGTGTGACTTTGAGAACTATATCTGGTCTCTGACTCTTTTTCTGGTGCTCTTCCCCTGTGTTCTGCTTCCCAGCTGCCATGAAATGACCCATTTTACTCTACCATGCTCTTCTCCCATGATGTTTCTGCTTTGGAGCCAGCTGACCATGGGTCAAAATAAACCTTTCCTCCTTTAAGCTGTACATGTTAGGTATTTACTCCCAGAAAGAGGAAAGCTGGGCTAATATGCCAAGTATACTAAAATTGGCGTCTGTATTTATAAGTATAATTTCTCAAATACTCTTGTATTTTGCAAAATGCTTATCTCTTGCCTTCTGTTAAGGAATAAACAGACTTTTGTTGGGTAAAATTTAGGTATTTGGATCTATTTTGAGTTGTAATCTATTAGTGAAGAAATTAAAATTGGTTATCTCTAGCCTTGCTTAAATAACCTAGACCAGTGACGGCAAATCTTTTAGAGCTTTCACTGATACAAATAGCCTGCTGCAACACATGTGCCATAGGTTTGCCACCACTTATCTGGACTTTGTCTCTAGATGCTTGTCAAACAATTTTTTATTAAATCCAGTTGCTTGGGCTCTCTTAAATTCATTTAAAACTTCACATTTCTCTTGTGTTGCAGAACTTGCTTCAACTCCCTATTAAATTTTTTGTTTAAGAATTTTACTTATTTTTCTTAGGCAAGTTTAAAAAATGACAGTTGTGTCATAGTGAGCAGAAAGCAAGTACTCTGGGTTAAATTGGATTAAAAAATGCCAGGGACGTGGTGACAGTAATATCAAATATGAAGCTCTTTTTCACTAGGCTCCCAAAAAAGCTAATTAAAAAAAATCACTTTTCCACTCAAGTGGATGGCTTTTATAGGACATATGCTGTTAAGTCTCTAAACAGTTTTAAGTATCTGATTCTAAGAAGGGAGTTAGGTTGGCTTACTGAAAATCTCTTCTGGAGTGTAGAATGTGGGTGTGTTTACGTAAATTTATTATAATTTTAACCATTCATTATCATTTTAATTTCCATACTTGGTTTGTAAATTTCATGTTTCCATTAGAACATTTTGAAAATATTGCTTAAAAAATTAAATGTTGCTATCGTTTGAACCAAAATGAAATGCAGAATGTTGATTCTGTGATTATTTCAGTTAAATTGGGAGAAGGAAGCTAAGGGAGAGATTTAGGATCCTGGCTCCCACCTCCTCTCTACTTCTTTCTCCTCCTCCTCCTCCTCCTCCTCCTCCTCCTCCTCCTCCTCCTCCTCCTCCTTCCCCTCCTCCTCCTCCTCCTCCTTCCCCTCTCCTTTTCCTTTTATTTATTTATTTATTCATTTATTTGGCACTGGGGATTTAATTCAGGAAATTTGCCCTGAGTTACATTCCTGCCCTTTTTTATTTTGAGACAAGATCTTTCTAGGTCACCGAGTTGTCCAGACTGGACTCAAACTTGTGATCCTCTTGCCTCGGGCTCCCAGAGTGCTGGGATTATAGGTGTGCACCACCGTGTTTGACTGAGCTCCTGCCTTTTGGTCTAGTGCTCCTGGGATCTGAGAGGGAATACCATCTGGGAACCTCTGACAGGATACCATGTTAAGACAGTTAGGACCACTGGAACCTTGGATAATTTCAACATCACAATTTGTCGCAAAGCTTCATTAGTTGATTTTATTTTGATCATTGCAATTTCAGAGCAATAAACTAGAGGAGAAAAGGCTACTTCAAGAAAAGCTCAGAAGAGAAGCACTTAGGGAGCATCATCAATAGTGAGTATGTTTTCAAAACTTGGTACCTTTGTAGGCCCAGTATTCATTCAGCTTTTAAATTCTAGATGATGGTAACTTTTCAAATACAGTATAGTATTAGCTTATTGACTGTTATATTAATTATGTTATTGAATTCTTTTCATTTGAAGATCTAAGATTGGGGACATCAGTACTCACCAAAGTACTCTTTATTGGTCTGTTGCCTAGCAATATTAGTACTAAATTTGAGGAATTCACCATTATAAGGTACCTGGCAACCTTGACTTTGGTAATCCAGGGTGCTTCTGATTATGTTGACTTCCAAGATAACAATATAAGGACAGTGATTGAAATGAAATACCTGAGAAGGATCTAAACTAACTAGGGATTTATCTAATGGACTGAGGACTGTTATGCTATTGTATTTCATTCTAATCAAAAGTTCAGATATCATTTAGCACTAATTGTTAAAATTTCCAATTTGTGGTCATATACCAAGGTAATTTTGATAGTATGATTTATGAATAACAGCAGTTAATATGTGTTGCCATAGTGGGGCAATTACTACTTTATAATGTAGATATTATACTCCATTATATAGCCTTTAAAGATAAGATCACATCCTAGCTCTTGGTAACTAGCTTACCTGAACTTTGATTAAAAGAAGACAAAACCGAAGAACCGTATTTCTGATCCTGTGTTCTAAATGTCATAGAATTTAGGTATGAGGTAGGGAGCATGGGGAGCTCACAACAAACAGGATGTCTTGCAGCATTTGGAGATCCTAAGACCATCCTGTCCTAACCATACTCCTTGATACCAGGCATGAGCCTGAGGGGCAGGTGCTATGTTGAGAGTCATCTTAGGTAACCCCACAGTCATTATAATAGCATTATGGTTTTGACTCCCCCAATGGGCTTGGCCCACCATAGTGGTTCAACATGGTCCATATAAATTCAAAAGCTCCTTCTTCTGACATGAGGATGGAAACTCACCATTAATTGGGAGAAATCCCTGCTAGGTACCAACCCAGACCCTAAAACCCAGTAAAGGGTCCAGTAAAAATCTCAAAACCAAAAACAGATGGAATCCCTCTGAGTCGAGCCTACCCTTGATCTTCATCATCGGCCTGCTCCCACACTGTAAACCATACTTTTGCTTTAATAAGCCCTATATTTTTCTTGCTACTTCTGTATGTCATGCTCAGTTACTTGTTCGGAATACAAAGAACTTGGATACCTTGTGGGACAGAAACAACCCATCTGGTAGCAGAATTAGAACCAAGTAGATCTGGGTTCAAAGTCCTAGTTTCAATCCTCAGTTGTGATCTTAGACAAACTACTAAACTTCTTTAAACTTTGGTGTTTTATTCATTTGACTTTCTCTTTCAAAATAAGAATGATAATATCTACCCCATAGGCTAATTGTAAGGATTAAAGATAATATATCAATAGCATAGAAGTGCCTATTATATGGACTTGAAATGATTTTCTTACAGAGGTCCTTGTTGGATGGGATTATGCAGAGAGACTGTACATAGATTTCTGGTCCCACCATAACTAGCAGTTGACCTCCCTCTTTCCTATGCAATGTTCATTAACTACTTCCTGTTCTCCCTCCCCCACAACCCGTTGTCACTTATTTATAGAATTTCAGGTCACTAAGGTATTAAATTGCACACGTATGTGACACCTTAGAATGTATTCCTTCTCTAAGTGCCACATCCTCTAGTTTTCTCATAGCACTGACATTATCCTGCCTCTATAATAAGGAGCTACTTCTTGCTTTAAGACTCATAGACAAGAATAGAAAAGAAATTTCTTGGCCTTCTACATTGCTTTTTAGCAAGATAGGTAATTGGCATCTGCAATCTGGGCCAGAAAACTGGTGGGAGATGGGATGAAATAGGATGGAAGGATTAAAGAGTAATGTTATCTTCAACATTAGTCTCATTTTAGAAACAGAATCTGAAACCCATCTCTCCCTACTCTTCCTTGGGAAAGAGGAAGCTGAATATCATGAGAAACTGACTATCTTGAAAAGACATGTGGCAAGAGGGAGGCAACAGGTTGAGGATGTCAGTGTACCATTACCTCCCTTTTTGTGACTAGAGAAAAATGAGGATTTATTTCTGGGTCCAGCCTAAAGAGTTAAGGGAGATGAGGATCAGAGGCTTTAGTTACGTAGAGTCACAAATGGAATCAAATATAGTTATTCTGTGGCATACTAGTTTTACATTAGAGAAGAGAAGACTACTTCCCAGTGAGAGGTCTAAGTTCAGGACTGGGAAGTTAAACCAGTCCATCCTCTGGAGAGTTTAAAACAAAGCAAGGTGAAGGATGAGAGATTCTTGGAGTTTTCAAATGGAGGTTGTGCTGCTCAGCCTTCTTTCTGTCATAGACTTCCAGCTTCTTGAGTTTGACTAAATATTAAAGATCAATCACCTTTTCTTTCTGTAAAGAAGAAAAAAAGTTTTGGCCTCAGCCGCCTCACACACTATCAGAGGAGTTCAATTAAATTACATGCACATTTCACTCTTGCTCTTTCTTCTGCTTATCATGAAAGTGCCGGTTAACCAGGAAAAAGAGAAGTTGGCTAAAAATGAGAAGCATCTCAAATTAATTTTTAAAGCCTATTGAGAAACACAAGAAAAGGTATATGTGTGTGAGCTTTTTTCTTTTAAGAGCATTGTGTTTGGAATTACTTTTGAAATTAAAAGGCCAATAGCTCATGAAATGAATGACCATTATATAGCTAGAAATATGAAAGGAACTTCTTAGAAAATGTGGATCCTCTGTATAACAGGTCTTTATCATACTTTCTTAGAACCAGTTTATGGTAGAAAAAAATGTCTAGGAAAGCTGTTTTAACAGCACAAAGATTTCACTAGACCAACCAGGCTGCCTTCCCCCTACCCCTCAAATTAGATTCTCCTGAAGCTGTCAAGTGAAGGAACACAAAATAGAAACCCAAATAAGAAATTCTTTAGAATGAGTCAATACCTTGCTAGTTTCTGCATGCTGTGATGTGTATGGTTCAAACAGCAGACCAGGAATGATGTGTCTTTCCTGTGGAGAAGGGCAGCCATGGACTTGAACAGACTGTAAATCCAAGGTGCTGGAGAAAAAGCACAGGATAGCCACCTGGGGCAGCACCGTAAGAATCTTAATGTGCTCTTTCTTCACACCTTGTTCCTGACTCCGTTCATTTGCTTCTGATTATTTTTAGTGTTGTCAATTATTTAGCTAACAGGCAGAAAACTAGGCTTTTATTGACATCCAAAGGGACTCTCCTGAGTGTAATAATGAAGGCAGTTTATTGAATGCCTGTGAGGTTGCTTTCTAATTGTATGCATTAATCTGTCCATGCAAGCTGGCTGAAAATACACAAGCAGATTGCACATGCAGATGGAGCACACAGGATGGTTTTTATGGAAAGACCTCTGGAATGTACTTCTGCAGTACTGTCTTTTCCTTAAAAATCGAATGACTGTGACTATTTCAGTTGGCAGCTGAGAGCAGACCAGATTAATGATGCATTAAGTCTGCCACTCTGGCTGGGGACAGACTCCAATTTCACAATTCAGAACTAGTTCTAGGGTTTTTCAGCTTGAAAGTGAATGGTAGAAATGGGCACTTAAGCTTTGTGTAGTTTTCACCATTACTTTTCATCTTTTTGACTGTTGCTTATAAAAACTCATACATGGTACTTTTCAGGATAGTCCTTATATTGGTATTATCGATCTGAAGTAATAATTAAACTTTACCAAAGAGAGGATGTTGTGACTTGGGTTATTTAAAATATTGGTTAAAATATCTTAGCATTTTAAAGTTTAAATAGTAATTTATTTAGGACGATACAATCATCTTTCTAATTGTATGTTGTTGTTTTTTTTATAAATGTTGAGACAAATTTGGATTTTGAGCCTGTTTAATCAGTGATGGGGTTAGGGTAGGAAGTGAGGGAGTACAGTTACAATTTGTGTGCAGGTGTTATGGAAAGCAGTATATTTTAAAGCATATTCTGGAGGAATAGAATTGGCTATGTTTTAAGCATTTAAAATTGTAACATATCCAATAACCACTCAACACCAAAGATTATACATTTATGTAGCTTAAAAAATACAAAGTGGATGGCTCTTTTAAATTAAAATAATATGAAGCTAGTAAATAATTGAGAATCTGTAAAGTGTCAAGCTCAGTAGGAGGTAAATAATATAGAGGCTTTAAAAATTTTTTTTAGATCATCCCTATTAGAGATGTATTACCCCATTTTATAGGTGAAGATTTGGGTGGTTAAAATTTTCCAAAGTCACAGAGACACTAAATGTTGAGGCCAAACACAGGTTTTGAGATGTTGGGGGACAAAGGGATTAGGTAATTTAGGGTTGTGGTATATTTTAAGGTTGGGAGTCTTAGGGTAGAATGGGGGTGACAAGTACTGTAGCAACATGGGGTACCTGTGCTGAGAACTATTAGAGAGGATAGGTCAGCTCAGAGAGAAAGACTTGGCCAAAGTTGATTTCTATTTCTTCCCACCAAAATCTAAATTTTGCCTACATCAGGCAAAAGAGAGACTGAAGAAATAAGTCTGCTTCATTTCCAATCATTGCATGCAAATGATATTCTCATCCCAGGACCAGCACTAGGTTTATACCATGATTCATCTTACTGTAGTATGTACCATAATGTCGCTTGACTGTACTCTTCTCCTAGGTACAGTTTCCATTGTTGTTTCCTGGGGACACAGGGCCCTCATTATTAAAATCTCGGTTGGCAAAGCTGTCTGAACCAAGCTCATTCTCAATTAAGACCTTCCTGTTCCTAAACTGTCAAGTTGCACCTCTAGCTCAGCCTATTGATTGTATTGTTGGGAAGTTTTCTTCATTTCTACCATCAGAACCATGTATCTGTTTTACTTCCATTTGAATAGTGTGCTTAGTTCCTCAGAGGCACTTCTGCATTTATTTCAGTTTCCTAGAGCTTGGAATCCAGGCAGGTCTGCTGAATATGCCCACTTTG